AGTATCAAAGCAAATACTTAAAGATAGTGACACCGCTAAAAGGCAGTTTTCAATTAAAATCACACGATGACTTGAAGCATAAATATCTGCAAAAGCAACTTATGTTTCCAACTCTATAAAGTTTATTTAAAACCTATATTCAGTTCTGAAAACAGCTGAAACAAACAAAAAATTCTGGAAAATCTCAGCAGGCCTGGCAGCATCTGTGGAGAGAAATCAGAGTTAATGTTTCCGGTCCAATGATCCTTTTTCAGGACAGAGCTGAAAACAGCTGATGTGGGCTTGAATACTTTCTACAAATAGGCTAGTTCTTTTTTAAATTCTTCTATAGATATAGGTGTCACTGGCACGGCCAGTATTTGTTGCCTGTCTCTAACTATCCTTGAACTGAGTGGTTGTACAATCATTTCAAAGGGCAGTTAAAACTGACAGTGAGTCTAAAGTCACATACAGTCCATTCCAGTAAGGGTTTCTCTCCTGGGACGTTAAGGAACAAAATTTGATTTTATTAACTGGCTTTAAATTCCAACAACTGCCATGGCAGGATTTGAACATATATCTCCAAAGAATTGGTTCAGGCATTCTGAAGTAATAGCCCGTTGACATTACCATTATGCCACTACCACTCCCTAGCCTGGTCTCTGCAGCATCTGTTGTTTCTACAGTGTCTTATTCTGAAACATGTAGTTCATTTGCCACAGCACATTCTACACTTCAGGTTGACAATGGACTTGTCAAGAGCCATCACTGAAATTTCCTGGATCTCACAATTAGTGTCACATTCTTGGAGCAGGAAAGCCGGGGGTTGGTTGGATTTCCTGGACAAAAGTTCCAATATTTAGCATCTACTCATTAAAAAGGCATTAACATTTCACAGTGCACTATATTGGTTCCTGTTTGGAAATATTTTGCTGAGATGAGCACAACCAGTATACAGCATGGGGTGGAAGACAGTTCCCTTTTCTGAGATAACTCTGAAGTGACTTTGACGCAAGTGATGAGTCTTGGTCTTCCGAGTCACTCTTCTAAGAGAAAGCAAGTTGCAAAAGCTGGTCTTCTTCCATGGTAAGGGAGAATTTCATCACTTGGAACAAGTAAGTTCAACTGTTCTTACATCATAACAGTGGTTACCAATGGCTTGAGAGCAACACTTACACATGTACACGTGTGCACATATACACAGGCATGTACACCCATAGACAGACAGATTTACAGACTTTACCTCTTATGAACACTAACTGAAGACATCCAGAGTCTTGAATGAGACACCTTCTAGACTCACTGATAAAGTTTAGAACTGTGACACAATCCCTGGTACTCATTTGCATGCAAGCACATTTTTGTGGAGCACAGTGGCCAACTGTACATCTGTTCCAAAGTTGACAAAAACAACAGCCCATAAATTTTATGACTTCAAGCCGAGGAAACCACAATAGCAGGGAAAGGCTGAAAGTTGAAGGTGGGCACTGTAAAGGTTAAACCCATGCCATGCGGGAGTGGTGTAAATAGATGAGAAATCTTTATCTGCAGACTTGGATCCACTCTTCCATCCTTATAACCACACCACCCCCCCAACCCAATCTCAAAGAATCACTCCTTTATTTCAAAACAAAAATTTGAAAGTTGTCACTTCATGATATCATATGGATTATAAGGAGTGTCTTGTACATTTAATAAAATGACTTAAAATATTTTTTATGTAGCTGAGGATCTGTTGTTTATAGGTTCAGAGGAAAGAGTGCAGCGTCTTTACATCATTTTCTAACGTCCCAGTTGGGAGGGAATGAGTCCAACATTTGTGTTTAACGTTGAACTGACATCATGCACAATGATATCACCCATATGATTCGTGCCAAGGAGAAAGAGGAGTCATGTGGACATTTAAGAATTAAAGTTCACTGGCTCAGTGCTTAAGCTTGTCCTAAAAAATATCCAACAGATAACAACAGAGGGTTCACTGCTTTCAGTTATATCTCCTACACACCAACTACCACCTCTTGATTCAATGGCACGACCACATCTGAATCCCCTATCACCAAACTCCTGGGGATTTCTACTGACCAGAAACTGAACTGGACCTACCATATAAATACCATGGCTTCAAGAGCTGCTCAGATTCTAGGAATTCTATAGGAGTAAATAACTTCTTATTTCCAGTCACTGCCCACTATCTACAAGGCATGGGTCAAGAATGTGATGGAATACACTCTCCACTTGTCTGGATGAGTGCAGCTTCAATAAGAAACACAGCATCATCCAGAACAAAGCAGCATGCTTGATTGGCACCCTGCCCAATGACTTTCTTTCTTCCAATATTATCACAGTAGCAGCAGAGTGTACCATCTACAAGATGCACTGCAGAGATTCACCAAGGCTACTTACACAGCGCCCTCCAAACCCACAACCACTACCATCAAGAAGGGCAACGGCAGCAGATACATGGCAACACCAACACCTGCAAGGTCCTCTCCAAATCACTTACCATCCTGATTTGGAAATATATCATCATTCCTTAAGTGTCGCTGGATCAATATCTAGGAGCTCTCTCCCTAGTAAAATTGGGGTTCTATCTGCACCAAATGGACTGCAGCAAGTCAAGAAAGCAGCTCACCACCACCTTCTCAAGGGCAACCAGGAGTTGACAATAATACTGGCCCAGCCAGCAGCCCCCACATCCTATGAATGAATAAAAATAACTCACCAATGCTTCCAATAAAAACCCACAAACTCTATCACCTAGAATAACAAAGTCAGCAGGTGTATTGGAAGATTACCTCCTGTGAATTCTCCTCCCAGTCACAGGCTCCCTGGCTTGAAAATATGTCACCTTTCCTTCTATGTCTTTGGGTCAAAATCCTGAGCTCCCTCCCTAACAGCACTGTGGGTGTACCTACACCACTGCAGGACTGCAATGATTTAAAAACAAATGAAAAGAACAATGGCCATATACATATGGCTCAGAACAGGTACCTTCCCAAAAGAAGGACTGAAAGCAATTGTGAGAACCACCATCCCAAACCATTTTAACAATGGCTTGGAAGAGGAACTGCTGAAGTCCAAGAGAATGTCACCTTGCAGCCAACGTGGCTTATTACCAACAGTAACATGAGCAAGTGATGGGGCACATTTCCACACCATAGCTAAAGGGAAAGCATGGTCTGCTCCACTATTAAATCTGATTTTTGCCATGCATGCATTACATTGAAACACAGGATTTAAACATTCAGCCCTTCAAACATATTCCACCATTCAACTCAATGGATCGCAGTGAATCTACATTGATAACAGCTGAAGAATTTTTTTTAAATTTGGAAGAAAACAGAAATTATTGATTACATTTTACTTGATACTAAATGTTCTTTGACAGTGTAAGGTAGTTCAATTTAGCTGGGGAACCTGGTACTGAAGCTGAAGCTTGGAGCCGGATATTATATCCTCATTTTGATTTTTCCAGCCAGCTCCAAATTGATCTTGACTGTGAACCTTCCACAGATCTGGATTCCAGGACAATTCAAAAAGTGAGCTTGCTTGACTGTGACCACAATGTGGTCAGGTGTACTTGCAGATTAAACTTTCTGTACATTAATAGGATAACCATTCCATCTGATAAGTGGTATGCAGAGTGCAATGATTAATGAGATTTTTTTTAAATTATGGAAAGTAAACATCTTCAAAAAACAAGAGGTGACCTTTCACCTCTTCATAAATTAAAACAAAGACCTGCGAATGTTGGAAATCTGAAACAAAAACAGAAATTGCTGGAGAAACTCAGCGGGTCTGGCAGCATGTGCCAACAGAGAAAGCACAGTTAACATTTCAAGTCCAGTGACCCTTCCTCAGAAATGGGAGACTATCCCAAGCAGAGAATCCATTTCTGAAGAAGGGTCACCAGACCTGAAACCTTAACTCCACTTTCTCTGCACAGACACTGCCGAGTTTCTCCAACAATTCTGTTTCTGTTACCTCTTCATAATTATCCAGTGAGTGGGATTGACCTGGAACGTACTACCCACACAGTGCGGTGGGAGCAAAAAAGATCAAACATTTCAAAAAGAATTTGGATAACTGCCCGGGGATGTGCATTTGTAGGGATTTTGAGACAGGGAGAGGGAACTGGGATGGACAAGGGTCGCTTTATAGGGAGCCAATGCTCACACAGTGAACATCTGCATTGGGCAACCATTTGCCAGCGCAATACAAAGCAAAGTCAAACGGAATAATTAGTCAGATGCAATTAAACCAGTTTGTCCTTTTAGCAAAAACAGACATTTGGCAGTGACTTCACAATGTAAACTCATCGGAAATACAAGGACCAGTCGGAAACCCTCTCGCGGCTCATGTTGTACCGTGAACCCCCTCAGCATGGATTAGTTCCCTGTACTCTCACCAAAGTAGCCAAAATGATTTCAATTCCTCTTACTTTTGCACGATCGAAATTTGCAGCGTCCCACTTTGCAGCTCCACAGCCATTTCAGAGCGGCAGCAGATTTCTGAGCTGGTAACATATCAAAAGGGGAAGTTTGTTTCAAAAGTGAGTCCCCTGCGCTCCGGGAATTGTATTAAATTGCCTTAAAGTTTTTTTTTAATTTAAATAATGAAGGGAAAGAATCTGGGGATAAGGCGAATTGCTGTCATGCTGTAGGAACTGTGGATGTGGAATTCCTCCTTGGAGACACACAGCATTCCAGCAAATCGCCCGAGAGCAGACGCTCCAATTGCAGGATGGGGGCCAACGGGGAGAGAAACTTCAGTGTCTGAGACTTCGGAAACAGTCCAGTCTCCAGCAGAGAAAAAAAGACGGCCACAGATAGACTCGAAACAGCGAGGAAGGGCAGAGATATCGACACGACCAAACACACACACACACACACACACACAGAAATCCACAGTGTCCCAGCAGCTAGACACCAAGAGAAGTAACAGGCACTACTTTTTATTGTTTTTTGTTTGAGGAGTACACAGAACTCAAATGGGAAATAAATTCAAGCCATCTTACTCACCCCAAGGAGACAGACTTTTAATTCTCGAATAGCCATAATCAGTTGAAGGGTTGTGTCATGCTATTTGCAGGCTGGGTTGACCCAGTTCGCTGTTCACACGTTACCTCCTATAACACTGCAAGCAACCAGCTCCCCTCCAAGTGAACGGAAATTTCTGTAACAACTCTCAGCTCTGGATCATCACGTGACACTCAAACTTCTTGCACAGCCCTCCTCACAAAGTCACTTAAAGAGCAGGATATCCTCACTCCACTTACAGCACAGTATCTTCACTGTGTCTAGCTGCTGGGACACAGCAGAATATCCTCACTGTACTGCACTTAAAGAGCAGAATATCAAATTCTGCATGTTATCTGCATGTTAACCATTTCCAGTTTTCTTCGCAGCTATTAAAATTAATTATTTTTGTTGAAAACCATGATGTAAGCGAATAATTCAAAAATTCCAAACATGATAAGAATGTAACTAAAGATTGTATTCACTTTATTTGCAGGGAACATTGACACAATTGTCAGGAATTATACCACTCCAGCAATAACAACTTATATTTATATTGTATTTGCGTAAAATTGAACACATTCCTGGGCATTTCACAGGAGTGCTAGCAAATACAACTTGACACCAAGCCGCATGGGGAAATCTTGGAACAAATGAAGAAAAGCTTGGTCAAGTGGAAAGGTCGCAAGAATTTAGTTCATGGAAAAGAGAGAGAATATCAGGGACGGAATTCCAAAGCTTTGGATTGAAGCCACTAATCGGATGCTCACCAATATTGGACTATTGGAAAGTGAGGATGCATAAGAGACTGATTTGAAGGAGCTCATAAATCTAGGAGGTAAACAGTCCCAGGGAGGTTATCAAGATCCGAAGGGGTAAGACACAGGAAGAATTAGAAAACATTAGAAAAGAAGGGAATTTTAATGTCAGCCTGTTACGGGACAAGAGTCAAATGGATAAAAGTGACTTGTTATGAGGGCATCAGAATTTTGGAAATGCTCAAGTTTATGGATTGCAGGGTGTGGAAGACCAACTGGGAGCCTGTTACAATAGTCAAAGCTAGAGGTAACAAGGAAGAGAGTTTCAGCAACAGATGTGCTGTGGCAGTGCAGAGATGGACAATCTTCTGTAGGTGGACATTAGTGATCTTGATGATGGTGAGGAAAAGGGATCAGAAGTTTAACACAGAATCCAGTGTGTCACCAAGGTAGCAAAATTGTTTGACTCTTTCTCTCACAGTTGCCAGGGAAAGGATGATGTCAGTAGTTAGGGAATGGCTGAGTTCACAGGGTCTGAAGTCAATGGCTTTGATCTTCCAATGTTTAATTAAATTATGGCGGATCTGTACCTAAACTTTATCATTCACTCTTGTGCGACCTCTAACATGGCCAATTTTGACTTCTGTAACACTGATCAACTCTACCCTCATCTGATTTGTTTGGAACTGAAACCCTTGTCCATGCAAGGGTTTGTTACATAGACTTAACTATTTCAAAACACTCTGGCAGACCTCCCACGTTCTGTGTGCATGATTCATTTTAGTAGAAGAAAACAGGGAGAAATGAATAATTGTAAAGGGAATAGAGGGGCAGAGGGCCCTGGGAGTTTCAAATCAATGAACAGGGTAGGGAAAGTTAGGAACGCAAACAGAATCCTGAGCTATATCAATAGAGGTACAGAGTACAAAACCAAAAAAGTTCTGACACATCTACATAAAGCGCAGTTTTGGTGGCAGTTAAGTTTCCCGAGTTCTAGGTAGGCTGTCACATCTGGAGTATTGTGAGCAATTTTGGTCCCCTCATTTAAAGAAAGATATATTTCACGGGAAACAGTTCAGAGCAGGTTCACTTGGATAATCCCCAGTATGGAGGGATTGTCTTATGAGCAAAGACTAAAGAGATTGGGACTCTACTCACTGGAGTTAGAAGAATGAGAGGTGATCTCATTGAGACATATAGCATTTTTAAGGGTCTTGACAGGGTAAATGCTGAGAGGGTATTACCCCTTTTGGAAGAGTCAAGGGTATATTCTCAGAATTAAGGGGTGCCAATTTAAGACTGAGATGAAGAGGAATTTATTCTCTCAGTGGGTTGTGAGTTTTTGGAACTCCTTGCCACAGAGATGTGTGGGGGCAGAGTCCTGTGTATTTTAGGCTGAGATCAATACAGTCTTGATCAGTAGGAGAATCAAGGGTTATGGGGAAAATGCAGGAAAGTGAATGTGAAGAACGTTGAATCATCCATGATCCAATTGAATGATGGAACAGACTTGAGGGGCTGAAAGACCTACTCCTGTTCTTATGGTCTTATTTCTGAAAATAACGTGAATTACCTCAATTTATGTTGCTCAGTTCTTTCAATTTATGGCTGATCAAAAGAAACTTATCTCTTAAATTTTAAGTGTGCTGTCCCATCAAATAAATAAATAAACCGTTTGTATTCAATTTGAATAGTTTGGCTTCTCTCACTCTTGCCAAAGTCCTGTACAATTTGAACAAGAGTTATTTCTTCTGGTACTCCAATCCCCTTGCAATAAAGACCAGAATGCCATTTGCTTTTCTAATTGCTGGCTGTACCTGCACACTAACTTTGTATGTTTTTTGTGTAAGGTCTCCTAAATCTTTCAGAACATCAGCATTTCTAAATGTCATACCTTTTAAAGATATTCAGTTCTTCAATACATATAACGAAGGTGAATCACCTCGTACTCTATTGCATCCACCATCTGAACTTACCCTTACTATATCTTTATGCAACCTCTTTGGGCAGAATCTTCCCAGTCATTGAACAACATGGGCATTAGCAGGAAAGTTGAGAAAATCAGGTGCAATCAGCAAGAAGGAGATTCTGGTATTGAGAGCAATAATTCCCATTCTCCGACCAAGCAAACAGATTATTGTTTGAACAGCAAGATGAGCATCCTGCTCATGAGTAGTGAAAAGCCTATTTGCATAAATTAGCATGTTATTATTACCTACACTTGCCTTATTAAAAGCAGCTCTCCAACTGCAGGATAGAATCAAGATAGCAACAATTCCCAACGTGAAAGTCAGGTACCTGGCAACTCCAGCTCTCCAACTTTAACACTGACCCCATCCATGGTTATTGGCATCAGGCCAGTGTTCAAATGCAGCTGCTGGGAGATTCCATGTATGTCGATCACATTGGCTTCCAATTCCAGAATCTGCTGTCTCGTAGGGACCTCATAGATCCACACAGCAGAAACATTCATGAGAGGGAATGAAACATTGGGCACATATCAGCCTGACTGCACTCCCATGGCACATCTCTGATCCACGTGCAATACCGTTATGTACTTCATTTTGGAGCACACCAGCAGCTTTGTTCTATCTCACTGGGACAGTGCTCTGGGAATCAAGCCCCACTATTCCCAGAGGTGTTATAAAAGTTAAAGATTTGAAAAAGCACACAGAATCCTCCAATCTATCTGACTTTCCTACCCAGGATTTATAGAAATCATGGACGAAGTTGTTGTATTTAACAAAAATTAATATTCATTACAAGTAAATAGAATTTAGCTTCAACTACATTAGAACATAAGAACTCAGAGCAGGAGCAGGCAATTCAGCCCATCTAGCCTGCTCCGCCATTGAATATGGTCATGGCTGATCTCATCTTGGCCTCAATCCCACTTTCCTGCCCTCTCCCCTGAACCCTATAACCTGTGACTAAGTAAAAATCTCTCTATCTCCTTCTTAAATTTACTCAGTGGCCCATTATCCACCATACTCTAGGATGATGAATTCCACAAATTCATGACCTCTGGGAAAACTATTTCTTCTTCATCTCTGTTTTAAATCTGCCACTCCAGAGCCTAAAATTATGGTGTTTTGTTCCACCCTCTCCACTTCAATTCCCTTGAGCATCATATATTCCTCAATTAGATTTCCTCTCATTCTTCTAAACTCTAGCCGGCATAGGCCTAAACTGCTCAATCTCTCCCTCATAAAACAAGCCTTCCATTTCTAGAATTAATCTAATGAGCTTTCTCTGGACTGCCTCGAATGCAATTATCTCCTTTCTCAGGTAAGGGATCTAAAACTATGCACAGTACTCCAGGCGTGGTCTCACTAATGCCTTGTACAGTCGCAGAAACACTTCCCTACTTTTATACTCTACTCCTTTAGCAATAAATGCTAAACTTCCATTTGCTTTCCTTATTAATTGCTGGACCTGCATAAAAGATTTCTATAATTTATGCATGATGATACCAAGATTCCTTTGCACTAAAGTATATTGAATTTTCAGTACATTTAGTTGATAAGTTGCCTTTTTATTCTTTCAACCAAAATGGACAACCTCATACTTATCCACATTAAATTCCATCTGTCAAATTCTGACCCCTTCATCTACCTATCTAGACCCATTTGTAAACTTCTTAATTCTTAGAATCATAGAATCCCTGCAGTATGGAAACAGGCCCTTTGGTCCAACAAGTCCACACTGACTCTAGGACCATCCCACCCAGACCCATACCCCTATAACCCACCTAATCTACACATCCCAGAACACTATGGGCAATTTAGCATGGCCAATCCACCTAACCCACACCTCTTTGCACTGTAGGAGGAAACCAGAGCACCTGGAGGAAACATAGATACAGGGAGAACATGCAAACTCCACATAGACAGTTGCCCGAGGCTGGGATTGAACCTGGGTCCCTGGTGCTGTGAGGCAACAGTACTAACCACTGAGCCACCATGCTGCCCCAACTTGGGACTTGTTTTTCCACCTATTTTAGTGTCATCAGCAATAAATGATTAACTATTAGTATATAATTCTACTAGTTAGAACTCTGATCCCTTTAAAAACTTGCCATCTACACACACATATTGACAGTTATGAAGAAAGAAAAGAAAACGGGTGTTATGTGTTGTGGGAATGACTGGGAAGGTAGTTCAATGGTCTTTGTTCACAAGGTTTGCTGAGATGATTCTTGGGCTGATCAGAAGATACGGAGTGACTGCTTCACACGTATAAAGGTCTCTGACTTACTAATTAGAAGTCACAGATTACAGCAACTGCAGAGAGAAAAACAAACTTGCTTTCTCCCAGTAGAGAGCCATTAGCTTCTCACAATCTTCTTAACAGCCCTAAGCTTTCCAGCTACTTGGGATTCAATTGTTGTTGACAGGCAGATGTTTGGCATTGATAACTATCACAGACCAATCAGTTACTTGCTGCCATCTGAATCTCCATTTATACACAGTCTTTGTTTCCAGCTTGTCTGCAGATCATCTACTACTGCTTG